CCCCAAAACCCCAAAACCCCAAAACCCCTAAAAATACAATTAGAAACGATAAATGCTTTAAGATTTATAAAATATGAATTCCATATCTCTGATCACTATCTTCTCTGAGGTCCACCTTTAAGTGGGTCTTCGCCAAAGAGATTACCTAAATTATTTTGATTTTGTTGTGGCATCCCTTGAGGTGGTGGTCTGTTTTATGGTGGCATTCCTCCTGGAGGCATCTGTCCGGGTGGTCTGTTCTAAGGCTGTCCACCTGGTGGGATATTACCTTGTCCACCTGGTCCACCTTGTCCACCCATGTTGCTAGGAGGTCTGTTGTTGTTGTTGTTCATTTGTGGAGGAGGGTTTCTGTTAGAATCCATTTGTTACCAGTTTCCTTGGCCTCCATCATTACCGCTGTTATTGTTAGGAGGAGGTCTTCTTTCTCCTTCTCTTCTCTTACTCATTGATTCAATTCTCAATTGCTCTTCAAGTTCATCTTCCCCAAATGCTGTATTTGTAATGTCTGGATCTCTTTGGAGAACCTTGATAGCTTTTTTCAATGTATCTAGTGTTCCGTTAAGTGATTTTCTCTCCTCTGCAACTCTCTCTGGCTCTCCGAGTTGTTTAATAAGTACTTCGTTTTTGTTAATCTAGGCGTATAGCTCGAATTATAGTCTCTCCTAAGAAGATTTGACCAAGAAGTAGCCGATAGCTTTTGGAATGCTATCTCTAACATTTCTTACTACAATCTTGAAGTAAGCATCAATCCTAGCTCTGATTTCTTTAACGAATAAATTGCTTCCCTTGCTTTGACTAGCATTTTAGTTACCTTTGAATGCACCAACAATTTAGCCTCCAACACTTTGGCCACCATTACTGCTCTAAGTATTTTATTATGGTTGCTATTGCTCTTGTTAAGGAACAATGTCTGTCCTATTTTAGAGATAATCGTAATCATTTGTGAATAAATAGTTTTACTCACTGTCGATGATAGATTCAACGATTCCTCTACATTTTTCTCTCTCGTCTTACAATACAGTGGTGATAATATCCATAACTTCTGGGATCATAGATGGGAATCTGGAGAAGATTCTGTCAACAATGCCTTGTGCCATATTTTCAAGCATGTGATAAACATCTTATAAAAGGTCAAGAGCAGGTTCTCTGAGCTTCTCGAGTTGTGGCTGGATTAAATAGATGAAAACATCGACAGATGGGAAACCTGGAATGGTGTCACCTTCATGGAGCATGATAGCCTTCTCAATATCCATATCAGTGTACTCACTAGTTGCATTAAAACCAACATATTGCTTGTACAATCCGTAGAAATGTAGCTTAATTTTAGCTCCTCCAGAGAGTTCCTTCTTGCCGGCTGGGTTCTAACTTGCGTATCTCTTTGAATCAAATTTACCGGTAATAGTGTTCTTGTAGATAGTAACGAAGTCGGTAATCATATTCCAGAGTAAATGCATTTTTTCATTTCCTTCTGCTGGAAGTGGTGGACCGAGATCTCTAAGTCTCTCTTCGATTTCTTTTGCCTTTTCCCTAATTTCCTTAGTAATTTCTGGGAGATTGTGCTTGATATGAGTGAACATAACTTTAGAAAGCTTAGATGATAGAAGATCAGTTCCAAGCATATTTTATGGCATAGTTGAGTAAACTGGGTGAGTTGCGAAATAAAGCTTTTCTCTCTCGATGGCATCTCTTACACTCATGTTATCGATAATATCTTGCTGGGATCTGTTCTTTACTCCAACATATCCTAATCTGAGAGGGACATCCTAACCTGAAAGCATTCTTTTAGCGTTGGTTCCTTTGTCCATGATATCAATCTTGGTAATAACTCCCAAAGTTCTAAGACCTTTTGGATCTAATTCTCTGGCCATTTGAAGACCATCGGAGGTTGTCATATCTGCATTAGCTGGGATAACGCAAAGAATAATTGTTCTTGGATCTGATACGTATCTGTTTGCCATGGATCTTGTGATTTATTCAATATTGTTTGGTTGATCAGACCCTGCAAGCGGAATTCTGGTTATACCTGGAAGATCGATAAGGGTCAAATCTGGGCAGGTGTGAGAAAAGATGTTAAGGATAATTGGCTTGTCGACAATACCCTTCTTTGCACCGGCGACTTTGTCAGTCAGGATCTCAATATTCTTTCTAACTTCTTAGAAATCAAAGAATTTTTTGCCTGGTATCTCTTCAAATACTGCCCATGGCTTTACATCATCAAGTTAATGGTTCAATCTAAGCTCTAAAGGTCTTCTTGTGACGACTCCCTATGTTCAATATTAAATAGCTGGCATAACTTACATCTCCTCTGGGAAGGAAATCTAAACCAACAATGGATTCGAGCACAGAAGATTTTCCGGAACTTTGTGTTCCCAACACTGCGATTCTGGGAAGATTGATGTACTGTTGGAGGCCAACATCTCTTAGTTCATCCTAGAAGAAATTAATTATTTACCGAATTGGAATGCATTTCAACTTACCACAATGCTAATAAGCTTTCTTAGTTGGTGATACAAAAGCCCACCGTCATCTTTTTTAGAGTCTGCCTTTTATTAGGATGGTCGCTCCATTTATGATATTTTTCTGATTAATTAAATTATAGTCTCCCTTTTCTATCCTAATATTTAAATATTTTCTCCTATTATTTCCTACTCTGATTAATTAATGCCTAAATCACTCTTTACTCTCAGTTTTCCGGGGTTTTGGGGTTTTGGGGTTTTGGGGTTTTGGGGTTTTGGGGTTTTGGG